AACGAGAATCTCCTGTTCATCGAGGAACCAGTTGAAATCATGGACAGGGAAGTGAAGCGTACTAAGCAAAGTCGCATTCCGATTGTGAAAGTTCGGTGGAACGCGAAACGTGGACCGGAATTCACATGGGAACGCGAAGACCAGATGAAGCAAAAGTACCCTCACCTATTCTCGCATTCTCAAATCTAGCTTCAAAAATAATTTCAGGACGAAGTTCCCTCTAATGGGGGGATGATGTCACAACTAGGAATTCTAATGCTTTGTAAACATTTAACAAGGATAACATTGTAACTAAAACTTGAAAGCATGTATGATGCTTATTCAATGACAACAAAATTTCATCAAACACTCTATACAAACACTCAAATAGTCAACAAAAGGTTGGAAACCCTAGAAATCCCGGTTTAAGTCCAATACGGACTAGGATTTCCTTATTGGGCCTAATGGGCCAATAAACTTCCAATTTGACTATTTTGGGCTTAGAACTCTTAAATGGGCTCTCATTGGACCCACTCTCATGAGACTTAACCTTTTTGGGCCTTATAAGCCTAAAATGGACTAGTTTATCTTTAATGGGCCTTATTGGGCCATAACAAATCCAATTAGCTTTAATGGACTCAAATCCATTCCTTTATGCTAAATTGGGCCGTGAACACCCCTAGAAGCCCAATGGGCCGAAAATAGTTATTTAGCCTCATAATTTGGAGCAAGGCTTAGAATGGGCCCAAGATGATTCCTCCTCTCTTTCCTTAGCCCAAATCGGCCCATGTTTAATAAAAAAAAGAGATAAGAATGGAAAAAGAATTAAAACAAAAAGGGAAATTATGGGAAATTTGTGAGGATGCCACCTCCTTATTGCATGGTGGACATCCATTCAATGTCACCTCACTTCTCTCCCCTCCCTTCATTCTTCTTCTCGGCCGAAAGCACCCAACACCCACACCAAATTCATTTTTCAAACACTCACTATTCCCTCAAGAACACTTTCATTCCTCCACCAAAATTTCGAGATCTAGGGCATTTCAAGGAGGTTCTTCCATAAGAAATCATTATCCTTGGTAAGTTGTACTTAGATCCATGGTTTAGTTTCTTGATCCTTTTATAAATCTCCTTCTAACTCATGAAAGTTCATGATCATGCTTCTTAGAAACTATCTAAGCCAAAGTCTTCTCAAGAAGCTTTCTAGGGCCGATAATAGCATCAAACTCTTCCATTTCTTTCTTCAAATCGAAAACAACAAGCAAAGGTGAGTTCATACCCCTTTATTTTCGGTTTTCATATGCTTTATGGGGGAAAATACAAGTATAATGTGAAGATCTATGTGTATTTGTATGTTATGTGTGATTTCTTGTATTTTGTGGTAAATATGTGCTAAAAATGAAAGATATTTCGAGATCTATAGTTCAAGAAGGAAAATATGTGATCTAGGTCATATTTCACTTAACATGTCAAGATAAACTACCATACAAGCTTTAAAATAACAAACTACAACATAAAGCTCATTATTGGACTATTTTTGTCAAATAAACAAAAGTTTGGGAAAAAGTTGTCATTTACGGTTTTTACAAGGTTCATAATGTCAAAACAGTTAAAATGGAAGTTTCTATGAACATTATGTTTTTCAAAGGACTAAAAACGAAATTTGTAGCTTATTGGGCTAAATTTTGGGCTTTTCGACCCATAGGCGTAAAGTTGTGAAAAATATGGTTTTAAGGGGGCTGAAATGGTAAATTTCTCAAAACAGTGGGTAGAAATGTAAATGAATCTATTTCTGAGGTTAAAATGACCTTATTTGCTAAAAAGGATTGAAAATGCAAAGATTTTGGATTTTGGGTAAAAAGTGTAAAAATTTCGAAAAAGGTGGATTAAATTGAAAGTCTTTTAACTAAAGGGTTGAAACTATCTAAAAATTTACTTTTTGACTTAAAACATTATTTAAATAAGTGTTTGGGTCAAAATGTCAAGAAAAATAGTTCAAGGACCTAATATGTCATTTTTATAAAAAGGGCTAAAATTGCCAACTTTACAAAATAAGGGGGGGGGGGCTAAATAGGTCAAACTACTGTTTTTGGTCAATTATGTTAATAATAATAATAATTAGGTCAAATATACAAAACTTTATAACTTATGAGTTTTAAATAGAAAAATAACTATTTTTTTTATATAAATCTATGAATCGTTATAAAACAAATTCGTGATTTTTACGACATATCGATTAAACAACTCGCAACATTAATACAATACAAAACAAGTAAACATTCAATTGGTTGGGCTTTAGAGATTCTAATCATGCTTATTGGGCCTTCGTGACTCATTAACATGACTTTTGGGCCCAACGTAAATAATACATGTTATTGGGCCCCCTGTGACCCATTTACATGCTTAAGGGACCCTCAATGGTTTTTACATGCTATTGGGCCTCAGTGGCCCATCAGCATTACTAGTAAGGTCCAAATAAATCATATGCGAAATGGGCCAACGCGCTTTTCGTATACTCGACAGCCTTAAATAACATACGAAATTAGTAGGGCCTAGTAGTCCTCTTCTCCTCGTCTGTTAGGCTTACCTTCTCTTCAAGTAAACTAAAATCAGATCATTAATCAAGGTTAATCAAATTCATGTGGATTGAGTGAGTAATAACGGGTGACACCAATAAGTGTCGGTCGTAGTCTGTAGTTGTAATCAAAGTCTCCTGGAGGGAGAGCGAGAGTTTGTGTATAGATCTATACGGGGGTGACTCCCCCACACCTAAGCTGTTCGCTACAGTTACACTCGGCCAGTCTAGGGTGACAAAGTCTTAAGATCAAATTTCGGTGTTCATTAGAATGCCAAGACAGACGAACTAGTCATTATCATGCATGGTTATAACGACTCACGTAGAAATCCGATATCATTAATCAGGGGAAATCATATTCATTCGATGTAACGATACAATAATGCAAAACGATCATAACTCTTTATCGGAAAACATCGGGTTTTCCGGGGAAACCAATCTTGCTCATTTGTACTTTCAATAACTATAATGCAAAAACTTCTCATTTATTCACGTTTTGAAATCATCCACGCACATACTTACAGGATCATCACAACATTTTCAAGAAAAGTTTTAATACAGAAAATATCGGATTTTCTGGGTTTACCAACAACATAAACTACTTTACATCAAACACCCTTATGAACTCACCAACATTATATGTGTTGACCGTTTTCAAAATATCTTGTATTCTCAGGTAATCGTTAAACAATGGAGCATCCAGTGTGTTGAAAGTTTCTTTTGTAGTTGCAAATCACCAAACACTTTATATTTTTGGAATCATGTAATGTAAACCTTGTACTTGATGTAAACAATGTCAGTTGTACTATGTAATGTTTGGTGATGAATGTGTTATGTTTCATGTATATTCATTGTGATGATATTTCAATTTAAATCACGCGAGCCCTCGGACGTTTCCGCCGTCTGGTTTGGGGGTGTGACAGACATACTCACAAAAAAGATAAGTACATTCTCGCCCAGTCCTCTCAGACATTTTCAGATACTCATCTGACGCGTCTGCGGCTATGCCGTAAGCCAATTGTCTAAGGGCTGCTGTGCATTTTTGTATTGTACTAAAACCACGTTTACGTCTTGCATCCCATCTCAATTGGAAAAACTAATAATTGTTTTCCAAATCTCTAGCTATACGTAAAAATAAATTTCTACTAATACGGAATCGGTCTTCAAATTTTGATAGGTCGTACAAACTATCAGGGGCAAAGTAATCACTACCAAATGCTCGTGTGCCGCCATACGATCCCGAACAATGGAAATTCTATGCCTCTTCTCGATATTTGAACTTTCGCCTCTTTGTTGCACCCTTTTGCGTGCCGCAGACAACAACGTGTGCAACACCAAGTCATCTTCATCAGAGCTAGCATCATCGGATGAAGAAGAAGCAATCGTATCTGCAAAATTATTAATATCTATGTTTGAAAGAGGGAATAGAAATATGTTTGTGATGTGAATGAAAATGTGTTTGTTTATATGTTGTGTATGTATTTATATATGTGTATTAAGTTTTGTTTGATTTTTTTTTAAACTTGGTAACGGTCAAAAAGAAAGAAAAAGGAACGGTCAAAAAATGGTCCACCAATCGCATCAGTCGTCTTCGTCCGTAGCCAGCCTCACGCCACAAGGCACCTACGCGTGCCTAGGGCGGTGTTCACACGTAAGCCCCACGCGTAGCCACCTTGACTCCATACTGTATAGCCTTAGGCTACCCGGAGTGGAGGGCAAAAAGACGTGTGCGAGCTAACGTGTCAGCCCCCTTCACGCGTGAACACCGCCCCACCTTCCGGTGGGTTGCTTGTGACGTGGAGCTGGAGACGGAACAAGACGCGAGAAGTGATTGGTCCGTTCACATTTCCTCTCTTTATCTCTCTCTTCTTTTTGCATCTTCACCGCCTAACCACCGGTGAACACCGCCCCCAACCCTGGTGGTTTGGGTGTGGAACTCCATCAATATCCACGTGACATCACCTTTATTCCCAAACCACGCGTGACCATTGCAGATAGCCTTATGTATTTGCAGGCCGAGCATCAAAGGACCAAAATTTATATTGTATTTAACTTCCCTCTTTTATTGTTTATACTTTATATTCCTAAAAAAAATTTAGAGACTTATTATGGAGTGGTAACTTTAACGACACAAGTACACAATTACTAAGAAAAACAAATGATTAAAACTCATTATATGTTAAAATTTATAATATAATTTCAATCTCACAATTAAAATAAAAATTAAGCCTCACATGTAATGTTGGGTCTATTGACAGTGGGTTTTACTTGTTTGTCTTCAAGGAGAGAAGCTGAAGTTGATGGTTGCCAGATCTATAGCTTGGAATTGCTCTTAACCTCTTGTTCTTTTTTTTTTCTTATAACATTTTTATACTGAAAATTTTATTACAATAATAACATATATTTAAGTAAGTTACGTTATTATGTGTATATATTTAAATAAACAGTTTTATATCTTCCCTTTCAGGAGTCATCTTTGCTATCTAAACTCATGGCGTGAAGTTCTCTACAATTCCATCATTCCAAACGTTTAATCCACGACAGAAAGCCTTTTTAAAATCCCTTTCCTTTCGGATTAATCATGAAATCCAATCATTACACATTCAAACATGAGTCTCGTTAAAGTCGCCACTTTCACTCAACGTTTGTTCTTAGTCACATGCTTTCTGGCACCCTTCCTTGCAGCAGCTCCTACTTTGCTGTTTCAGGTTCAAAATCAACTCCTCATAACACCAAAAATCTCACTTCTCATAAGTTTTAATCCTCTTAAATAACTTTACAGGGGTTCAATTGGGATTCATGCAACAAAGATGGTGGATTATACAATTCCCTCCTTGACTCCATTGATGACCTCGCCGCTGCCGGAATTACTCATGTTTGGCTCCCACCTCCCTCCCAATCCGCTGCACCACAAGGTCGGGCTATCTTCCTTCTATTTACTTCTGTCTGAATTCTGATCATTTAAGTATAAAGTAATTAATCATGGTTTTGAATTTATTACTGTTGCAGGATATTTGCCAGGACGTTTATACGATCTGAATGCATCAAAATACGGGAATGAAGAACAACTGAAATCTTTGATCAAAGCTTTAAACAACAAGGGAATCAAATCCGTTGCAGACATAGTTATAAATCACAGAACAGGAGAAAAACAAGATGGAAGCGGAAAATACTGTATCTTCGAGGGTGGGACTTCAGATGAGCGACTTGATTGGGGATCTTCCATGATTTGCAAAGACGACGACTATTGCATTGGCAATGGAAATCTCGACACCAGAGGTCCCTTTACAGGTGCCCCAGACATCGATCACGTAAACCCTACAGCCCAAAAGGAGTTATCTGATTGGATGAACTGGCTCAAGACAGAAATAGGGTTTGTTGGGTGGCGATTTGATTACGTAAAAGGATATTCCTCGAGTTTCACCAAGATCTACATGAGCAACACCTCTCCAGATTTTGCAGTTGGAGAGCTATGGAGCTCGTTAGCTTATGGGCAAGATGGAACAAAACCAGATTACAATCAAGATAACCATAGAAATGAACTTATGAAGTGGGTGGAAGAAGGTGGTGGTGGCGCGTTAACAGCTTTTGATTTTACTACAAAGGGTATACTTCAAGCAGCTGTGCAAGGTGAGTTATGGAGATTGATCGATCCAAATGGTAAACCTCCTGGGTTCATCGGAATTATGCCTGCGAATGCTGTGACATTCATCGATAACCATGATACATACTCGCAAAATCTTTGGCCATTTCCTTCTGATAAAGTTATGTTAGGATATGTTTACATTCTTTCTCATCCAGGAATCCCATCGATTGTAAGTTTGCGTTTTTTTGTGCCATTAATTAGTATCGATGAATTGTTTAACAAATTATTGACTTTTGTTTTGCGTTTGATTTGTAGTTCTACGACCATTTTTTCAGTTGGGGGTTGAAGGAAGCAATCATAAATGTATCAGCGATTAGGGCAAGGAACAGGATAGGAGCAACGAGCCAAGTGAAGATATTGAAATACGAAGCTGATCTGTATGTTGCTGAGATTGATGAAAAAATCATGGTGAAAATCGGATCAAAAAGATGATCTTGGAAATCTTATTCCAGAGAACTTTGAGGTTGCTACCTCTGGGTTGAACTACGCTGTATGGGAGAAAAAACCATAAAGTTTGAATGAAGCAATTGTTGTATGTTGTAATAATACAAAATACTTAATAAATTGTTGTAATAATATAAAATATTTAATCAAATTGATAACTAAAACGCGGCAAACCCATATAAAATATTTAGATCATATTGTTACAAATACAGAAGTGAAGAGTAAAATTGCTTTGTAACCCCCATTTAACCATAAACAAACTCATGTATTATTACTATTATTATTATTATTATTGTTATTCTTGTTTGAATGTCCTTTCTTTTTGCTGAAGAACATTAAAAATCTAGGAAAGAACGACTTCTTCTTTTTCTTCCGAGCCTTTCCTTCACGAGATGATCCAATCACATTGTTGTTGCTTTCAGAACTCTTGCCTTCTTTACTACGAACCAATCCTTTCTGTCTTCCATTTTCTTTAGCTTTTCTTCTTTGTTCACTTTCAGATCTCCATGTTCTAAGCTCCTGTTCTACAGCCAGTTTCCCTTCCTTAGCCTTCTCAGCTTTCTCCTTTGCAATCGAGAGTTGTTTCCTCTTTAAAACTATATCTGAGTTTACTTTCTCAAGGTTATTCACTGTTTTCACTTCTGATTCTTTTGCTAAATCAATCTTTGACATAGCTTCTGAAACCCTCGAATTAGCTTCAGTCTCAGCTTCTTGAGCTTTTCGAGTTAGTTCATAGTAATCCTCTAAAGAAATTGTAACTCCAGATTCTCCTTCATTCTTTCGAGCTGATTCAGTTTCATGAAGTGCAGTAATTGCTCCAACAGCTAATTTTTCTGATGCTCGAGCTGCTTCAATCTCCTTTTGAGCAGCAATCAGTCTGCTTCTCATGGTATTTGCTCCAGCTTTCGCTTCATCTGCTATCTCTTTCGCTTTCTGTAGTTCTTCATGTGCTGACCTGGCTAGCGATTTAGCATGATCTGCCTCTTCGGCTGCTTTCTGAAGTTGTTTCGGGAGTTCGATTGCTTTTTCTCTTGCTAATTTTTCCTTCTTTTGAATTAGGGAAATCTCTGAAATTGTTCTATTTAGGTCACATTCAAGAGATGCAACTGTTACTGATGCCATTCCTTGTCTTCGTTTTATCGCGATAAGTGTTGATTTCTCTTTCTCGAGTTCCGAGTTCAATGAATTCGCAGCTTGTTTCAATGATTTGACCTCATTCGTTGCTAATTCGATGCTTTTGTTCACTTCCTCGAGGTTAATCTTTTCTAAATCGATAGCTTCTTGCATTTGTTTACGTGTATTGCTATTGTTATTTAACGATTCGTTATTTTCCATTTCTTTCTCATGATTTTCGCCCATGTAAGCAGCTAATTCGGATTTCAAGTCATGAAGCAATACGGAAGCGGTTTCGAGTTTGCACTTAAGATCTTCAACTGAAACGATTTTGTCGATCGACTTTTTCCAATTCCGATTCCGATTCTTTCAATTCCTTCTCCCAATTCAAAGTATCTTCTTCACGTGCCATTCCGATTCCGGTTCTGTATTCCTCCGCCTCCATTCGAGCGGCATGCGCGGATTCCAACGCCTCTTTTGTTGTCATGAGTTTGATAGTCAACCCTTCAACTTGTTTCTCAATTTCTTTCGAATTAGAAACAGCCTCTTTAGCATTCTTTATGGCTACATCCCTTTCAGATACCAATAATTCGTAATCGTTTTGGAGATCTTCAAGCTCCTTTTTAACAGTTTTCACCTCAGAAACAGCAGCTTCATGTCTCGCATGTGCAACTTCTCTTTGTATCTTCGCAGCAACACTAGAGTCATCAGCAATCCCTTGCTCCATTTCTTCCACTCTTAGTTTCGCAAGTTCTGCATCTTGTTTTGCTTGACGTTCTTCTGTTTGTGCTCTTTCAAGATTAAGTTTTAGTTCTTCTACGAGCCTTTTAGTGTCATCGAGCTCCTTTAACACATGTAGCTTCGATTCTTCAGCTTTCTCTGACTTTTTCTTAAACAATGGGATCTCTTCACGCGCCTTTATGAGCTCTTGTATTATATACTTCCGCTTCTGCAAATTGGGTTTTAATGTTTTATATATCCATAGATTTTTTAGTAGTGATATAAACAAAATGGATGATATTATACCTCAGCGGTTTGGAGTTTATGGGCTTTCCAATCGATGATTCCACCAAACATGGAAACAGCTGCTTTAACAGATTCGAAAGGTGCAGTGGTATCGATAATGGCATTACTAAAAGTTTTCTGAAGCTTTTTCCCAGAATCAGCCTTCTCCAATGGTGCAATGGTATCAACATTACTATAAGATTTCCGAAGCGGTTTCTCAGAACCAGTCTTCTCCAATGGAGAAATGCCATTAAATGCCTTTTGATCATGACTGCATATCTCACCATTTGTTTCTCCGGAAGGTGATTCGGGATTTCTTGTTGGATTATTTGCTTCTGGTTCTTCTGATGTTTCTAATGGAAGAGATGATGGAATTTCTTCTTGAACGTGATCATCTGGTTGTATTAGGGTTTCTTGGGAATCATCTAATGGTTTTGGATCAGTTGAGGCTTCTTCTTCAATTTCGGATCCTTTTGATGTATCTTGTTCAGGGCTTGAATTACCGAAAATGTCCTCTGCATTCGATCCATTCTCAGTGTCCTCCTTCCCTACTTCTGTTTCAGATACTAATTCTCCATTTGTGACCAATTTAGCAGATTCTTCACCATTTGTGGTTAAATTTTCTTCCAGAGCTTTCACTTCATCCATTCTAGAATTGTCAAACAAGCACCCGTTTGTTGGATATCTGAGATTCAATTCATAACACAAATCTTCATTCGTGGAGGCAAATCACGAAAAACAAATCAATTTGCAAAAAATTTCATCCAAAGATCAACTGTTCTTGGTCGTCATCCCCCTCACATCATCGAATATTCATTGCATCCTTTCGCCAATGAATTCAAAGGATCATACGAAATAATCAAACGCCCTAACAAAACCCACAAAACAACATTCAATCAAATTAAACTCGGAGTTAGAAAGAGATAAGAGAGATTAAACGCATACCAGGAAATCCCGAGAATCAAATCCAGAGGTTTGATGAAAATATCTCCTGATATCGAGAATAATAACTTGATTAACTCCAACAAACCAGCGATTAAAGCTTCGGAAATCACTATGAAAAACAAATCCAAATGAAAATGATAATCAATTGATGAGGAAAGCAAAGGAATTAGTAAAATGGATGGAAATAATGAGCGCAAACAGAACTAATACCAATTTCACCACAATATGATCTGAAAGGCGCGCTGTTTTTCGAAAAAATTTCATGTTGTTGTCTATTTTTAGGTTTAAATATATTTTGATTGCTATATTTAGTTGAAAATGTATTTTTATTGTCATGTAAATAGAGATATTGTGTAATTTAATATATATTGTGAAGCATTAGTTATCTTTACTTTTAACAAATTATCACCTACATTCATAACTTTAAAAGGATTAAGAGGGAACCAAGAAGAATTAATGTTTTACTTTGTTTGGGAAAAAAAAAAGAGCTTGTCTCCTTGTGCATTGTCTTCCTCAAAGAGGTTTCGAGAAAACGTTAATAGAAGGAAAATGCTGATATGTAACCGAATGGGATCTCAAATCACAGATATAAAGCATCAAAGTAAGTGATTTGTTGTTTGTTGCATATATATAATTTTGTTTATTTTTTAATTTGGATTCGGTATTTTAATATGTAGCTAAAATGACATTAAACATTTTTTATTTTTCTAAAGATAAAAATATTAAAACCCCTTGTTTTGACAAAAAGAACTTCAAATTTTCTACTTTCCTCAGAATGCCCACATACTTCATAATAGGGTCATTCCATAATTATGGACTTCATTACCTAAAAATCATTATCATAAAACTTAGTTGTGATTTAGATTGTGTTTGGCAAGTCAAAGCTAACTGATAAACTAATTTATTTTGTAAACTCTTTTAAATTGTCTTGTTAATGGCAATTAATAAACCTAAAAATAGTTTATAAGTTAGTTTAGTAAAAAGCTAGTTAGACTAGTTTGTCATGAGTTTTTTTTTTTTTTTTTTTTTTTTTCCAAATATACCTTTAATTAGTTATAAAAAACATATTCTTCTAATTTTTTTTTTGTCATTTTATATCTTTCAACTAGCTTATCAGTTAGTTTTTACCAAATATCATTTTTATCAGCTAGTTTTCCAACTAATATGTTAAACATAGCCTTAGTACGAGTAGGTTTCATTTATGAAATCACTTTTTTGTTTTAATTTGTTTCACCTATTGCAAAATTATTCATATCACTTCAAAATTGGAAACTCTTTTTATAGAATGGCTGTTGTGAAATTCTAATCTTCACAATAATATTCAAGCATTCAAACAAATATTTTATTCCAAAATGAGTTCATCGAATGAGTTGTTCGTAGCTCTTTGTATTGGAGGGTCGTAGTAGATAATCGTTGGCGTTAATTAGTTCATCAAGACAAATGTGATATATTATGATTTAGATTTACCCTCAAATCTAAACCTTTGTGGGTCTTTCCATTTGGTGGCAGGAAATTTATGTATCGAATATACCAACAACTTTTTATCTTTCCAACATCTTAACTTGTAACATTCATAAAATTTCATAAAAATTTTAAACTTTTCCAAACCAACCAAAAATCATAATTGTTTACATAATAGCTTTCAAAACATGTTTATCATCATAGTTTTTCCCAAAATCACAAAACATAACATGAGGAGGTACACGATCACGCCTTCGCCTTTCCGCGATCCTCTGAGGTACCTGAAACATAATCCAAATTTGTAAGCCCAAAGCTTAGTGAGTTTCCCCTAAATGACCAACACACAACACAAAACCAGAATAATACAATAAACAACATGCATACAGATGCTTCAGTCTGACATGAACGCCCCACCGGCCTACAGTCTATCTGGTATGCTCATAGAACCTTCAGGATGACTGGTACGTCACCTCGGGCCTTCAGCCTATCTGGAACATTCTCCGAGCATTCGGCCTGACAAGAACGCCCTACTGGCCATCGGTCTATACGGGACGCCTTGGGTCTATTGGCCTTCAGCACAAAGCAGGTCCCTCAACCCAACCATTCATACCCCGTGTCGACACAAACACACACAGATATATATGCATATATATATATATATATATATATATATATATATATATAACATATAATCATGCAGTTAACCAGCCAATAACAATTAGACAGATCTTACAGATCACTAAGCATAGCATCATCCTATCTACCAGGATACAGATCTGAACACTCAATCATGTAATAATCAGGATAACAATCCAAAAGGGTCCGGCCTTGGTGCCTTTGACCCAAAAGTAGAGTGAGGAACAATCACCTCACAAGCAGCGCATAACAGATAAGGTCCGACTCCGAATCTCAGCTCTTAAATCAAATGCCTATAACCATCAAATGACCAACTCCATCAAAACCCAGAATACCCAAATACCCTCAAGGTCCAACTTGGTCAAAGTCAGCGGTCAAGGTCAACAATTCATATTGACCCAACACGTCGTGTTCCCTTTTGACCACGTTGTGTTTCGCGAACAGTTCTACAGGGGGGAAAACTTCAGCCAACATGTCGTGTTGGCTTTCCAGCACGCCGTGTTCGCCAGATTCCCAAAAGCTTAAGATATTCAGCTAACTTTTCGACCCCAATAGCTCCAAGGCTCAGATCTGGACTAGGAATACGGTTAGGAAGGTGTTCGCCAGATTCCCCAACAGCTTAAGATATTCAGCTTCCTTTTCGACCCCAAGAGCTCCAAGGCTCAGATCTAGACTAGGAATGCGGTTAGGAAGGATAAAGTTTCCAACTTTATCCTTTGGGAGCGCAAAAATGTCCAAAAATCCAATCTACATGCTTAACCATGCAAGGGCTTAACCATAAAGTCCTCAATCCTTAAGATCTAAAGTCCCTTCCTTCCATAAGTGGTTCAACCACCCAAACCATTCCAAAGATTGGTTCTTTTTAAGACATGCATGTCTAATGCATGTCTTGAACCCATATTAGGTCAAAAAGGGAATTAATGACCTACTTTCTATGCATGGCATCAAAACTTTGGTTGAAACCAGATCCAAGCCACTATAAGGTCTTCTTGACCTGGAGATTCATAAAGTTGCAAACATTATGAGATCCCTCCATTGCATCAACCCATAACAAAGAGAAAAGGGGACATAAATCAAGATTTAGGGACTATGAATGGTAAAAATCAGGACTTGGACACTTACAATGGTCCATGAGAGTGCTACACTGAAGAATGATGCTTGCTAGCTGAATCCTTGCTTCCTTTTTTCACCTACATCCTTCAAAACACCAATTATCTTCACAAATGGGAGAGGAAAGATTAGGGTTTCTTTCTGAGCTTGATAGGGAAGATGGAGGCTGAGGGTGGACAAACCCTAGCCCCCATATTCCTTAAATATGGGAATAAACCCGGAATACTGGGGTTTCACACACAGCGGTCAACACACCATGTTTAGAGGGAAAACATGACGTGTTTCCCAGCCAAAACAGGCACCTTTTAATGTTTAGACACGATGTGTTGGTGCCTCCAACACGCCGTGTCTAAACCCCAAGATTGCAACCACTTGACCAATTATCATGAAATAGAATGAGTTAGAAATACCTGAACATCGGGATGTTACAATTCTCCCCCATTTGAACTAGACTTCGTCTTTGAAGTGTGTTGCGGCAAACAAATCTGGGTAATCCTCCCGCATCTCAGCCTTCGGCTCCCAGTTCCACTCGGAGCCCCTCCGATGTTGCCATCGTACCTTTACCATAGGTACTTCCTTGCTACGCAAAACCTTTACCTTCCTCTCCAGAATAGCTACGGGCCTCTCAACATAGTTCAGGCGCTCATCGACCTGAATATCATCCAATGACACAATTGCATCTTCATCCAATACGCACTTTCATAGCTAGGAAACATGGAAAGTGTTATGAATCTGACTGAGCTCCTCAGGAAGTGTAACATCCTGTATATTAAATAAATAAATAGATAAGGGTTATTATGAATAATAATCCTTAAGTAAATAATATTTAGCGGGGTGTTGGTGTTGGGGAGCCAATTGATACAATTTTAGAAGTTGGTAAATTATGGTGACCTAATTTGAAGAGATTTGAAAGGCTCAAGGGCTGAATGGTAAGTTTTGGACCTAAAAGGAAAGGAAAGTATAGAATCAAGGGCTAAAGGGTAAATAGTGAGTTAAGGTTGAAGAAGATTTGGTGGGGAGGGGCTGGTATTGTAAAAATGCTAAAAGGTTTGAAGAAAGACACGGGTTATACTCGGTGCTTCCCTCCCACCGACTAACCCTAAACCTAGGGCTTCATTTCACAGCCGCCACCTTCAAGAAGCTCCTTAGCCGCCGCTGCACTACCGAGTTCGCTGCCGCCACTAACCCGTCATCGGACGCCACCACTATGTTGGACGTCGGGAGCAACGCCGGAACATCAGTGGATCGCCGAAGGACTGCCGAGACCGGTGCATCTGTTGTCGTGCGTGGGTCGTGCGATACCAAAACGTCGGTAAGACCACTGCAGCCCTGCCTTTCCCTTCCTCTCGTTCTTTTCTGTGAGTCTGACGACGGAGTCGTCGTCATAATCATCAGTGGCCCTTGAGCTGTCGTTTCAGCCCACTCCAACGACCACTGCCTCCCATCGGTGGTTGGGAGTGTAGTTCTCGTGTCCCTTGTGTGATTGTGTTGCTGTT